ATGGGGTGGGGAGTTGGTTTAAAAATGTGTTTTTTATGCTGTGTGCTGGACATATCAACCTTAGCTTTAAGGTTCAACTGACTAAAATAGACTTAAAAGACCAATTGCTCTGTACAATTATCTATAGACCTCCCAATTATTACAAAGATTTTATTGGTGAATTTTCTGAATTTGTCGCTTCCATTGTCACTAAGGCAGATATATTGATACTGGGTGATTTTATTATTTATGTTTGCTGCGTCAGGAGCCAATGGTTAGGGATTTTTTCCAACAACACTCTTAAAAATGAAATCATCCTTCAGACTGATGGAGAAGGTGTTGTATGTGGTTCTTTATAGAACCATTTGGAAAATGGTTCCATATAGCACCAAAAATGGTTCTTCTATTGTAACAAGCTTGACACTGTAATAATAGAAGAACCACTTTCAAAAAGGTTACATACAGAACCATATGAGCTCATTTCCCTTTGTTATAAGACATAGTTTCCTTATCGTCTCGACATCCGTCCTGCTGGATTTTTAAGGAGGCATTTGAATTTGAGTTTTAAACATGCAGTTATTCAGCCTCACCTGAAGAAGCACAATTTAGATTCTATGGTTGTCAGCAATTTTTGTCCTATTTCAAAACTGCCATTTTTTATCTAAAGTCTAAAGTCTTGGAAAAAGTGGTTTACTCTCAACTATTTTTAAGCACAATTTACATATTTGAGACCTTTCGGATTGGGTTTCTGGGTGGCCATAGTACTGAATCTGTGCTTCTCAGGGTGACAAATGACTTGCTGGTGATTTGGGTGATTCGGGTGCGATCTTGCTTTTGTTAAATCTTAGTGCTGCTTTTGACATTGTGGACCATCATTAGGGGTATAGCACTTCAATGGTTTGTCTCTTATATTACAGAAAGAGCCTTTTTTGTGAATATTGGGTATGTGTTTTTTCCACCTCTCCAGTCACTTGTGGGGTCTCTTAGGGGTCCCTTTTAGGCCCAGTGTTATTCTCCATATACATGTTACCCCTGGGCAATATTGTTCAGAAACATAACATTTAATTTGATATTAATGCTGTGCTGAAAATACACAATTGCCCCTGTCTTTAAGGTGTGACAAAGACAAAGCATTAAAGAGTTTAAACAATTGTCTCCATGATATTAAAGATTGGATGGCTAATAGTTTTTTTTAAACTTAAAGAGAGTAAGTCAGAGATTATTCTGTTTGGTTCTCCTGATATGACCAATGGCTACCTTGAAAAATTTAGTAAAATCAGGTAAAAAAGCTTGGAGTGACCTTTGACCCAGATCTTACATTTGATAAACACACAGTGGTTAAAAGTAGTTTTTTTTCACCTCAGAAATACTCAAAAAGTAAAAAAAAAATTGTCTGTCAGTGACTTTGAAAAAGTTTTTAATGTGTTAGTCTAATCTTATCTGGTCTGTAAGTCCTCATTAACATGATTACATTTAGTTCAAAATTCTGCAGCTCAAATATTCACAATCATATTACACGAATCCTAACATCCTTTCATTGGCTTCAAATTCAGTTCGAATTCTTGTGTTTAAATTTAATTTAATTTTGCTTCTGTGACCCTATATGATCTCTTCTGTGTAAAGCACTTTGGTGCAATGCCAGATGCAATGTCAGCAAGTCTTCTTCAGACTGAAGAAAAATCCTCTGTCATGTGCTCCCATATCTAACTTAATTAGGACTTATGTAAGTGCACCGCTATGTATTGTGACATGGTGGATTGTTACAATCAATTCCACAGTCAATCCACAGTCACATTTTTTGGTTAATTGCCTTCTCCCTCTCTGACCCAAGAAGACACCACAAATGAGCACTGGTAATAAAAAAGGGTCTCTCAATAATATTTTGTTCAAGCAAAATATGGTGTTAAACATGACACCCGTCCTTCTGTTATTCCATTCTTTCCTAGTAAACACAGACAGCTGTGCCAAAGCACATGGCAGCTGCAGTAATCTGTCCTAATTCAACAGACTCAGCACAGTAAATCAACAAGAGATTCCACAACATTCGTACATCAAGCAAGGCACACAGAGATTCCTACATTCTCAGAAAAAAGGTATTAAATTGTTACCAGGGTGGTACCCTTAAGGGTTCAGTACCTTTAGTTAGAAAACATAATTGTACCATATTCCACTAAATTTACATATTTTTAAGTTGTATTAACTGCTTAGAACATGTATTGTCTCCAGCCTTTTATTATTGTTGGGTTGCAACATTACATTATTAAAAGATATAAATATGTACATTTTCTCTGGAAAAAGCTTATTTAAGGTACACAGTTGGACCTTAAAACCATTGATATACCTTTGAGGTACATTTACATTGTACTTTGATGTACCTGCACAGTACCTTTTTCTGACATTCTAGACATTTTCTCCCATCAGCCTGTCTTAACATCAACAAATGGATATTTATACACTATGCCTAAGTAAATAATTCATAATCCAAGCAAGGCAGAAAACTCTTTACTGTCCAATCACCATCTCATGAAAGGATCATCAAAGGATTTTCTTATCACAAACCACCCAGCAGGTGACTCCATGATACTGCAAACCTTTTGCCTGCATTTGTAAGATTTTAAATATTAAACAATTTTATGTTATTTCTCTTGTTTTCTCAATTATCCTTTTATCTACCACATATAGGTTAATGCAATCAAAATGAGTGAACCCTACACAGAGCATTTCAGAACTAACCAGTTTTAAGACATAATCAAAGTATCGTCAGTCAAAAGTTCTTACTCTCTTTTTTTCTAATTTGGAGTGAAGTAAATTTATTGTGTGGCACAAATATCATATATTTGAGTGTGTGTGTGTGTGTGTGTGTGTTTTTTTTTAAGTCTCAAAGTGTTGTTTTAGCTTTTATCTATTTTACCAGGTAGGGAAGAATATGCTCTTTGTGTGTGTCTGGAAGAGCTGAGAAAAAAAAAATAAAAAGGTGTGACTCAACACCTAAGCAGGAAATGTTTTGTCAGTGTCTGTTAAAAAATTGATACTGTTGGCTGGAATACTCTACAGTGCAAAATATGCTATCAACCAAGGACAAAAGAACAGTTCCTGAAGCGATTCTAGAGGGGGCTGTTTAATAACTGAAAAAATAAAAAAGTGTAAAAAAGTACACAAAGTCTACCAAGAAGTGTAACAAAAAAAGCAAAGGAATTGTGGTCAGCCAAGGCAAACACAGAAAACATCCTGTCTTTTTCACTTTATTAGTTCACTGTACAATACCTTGACCAACTCCTCCCAAAAGGAGAATATACTATCAATAATCAAACAAGCCTTTATCAGTACAGGGTAATCTTTAGAATGAAATCATGGAAAGTCTGATATAGTGGAGACACAATGTTCCACAGCAAGAACAACTAACACAAGTGCAGTCTGTTTTCTGATGCGAGTCTAAAAATACTCCATCAAAAGCTAAATGATTCCATTAAACGTCCTCTCCCTGTTCCTTAGTCAATGCATATGGCTAATCAAGACAGAGGAAATGATGATTTTCCTTCTGTATGTGATCATCCCACCTTTAAACAATTAAAGTGCTATCTACAGAGTCAGTCTTTACATCATTCACTGAAATAGAATATTGTTCTATACCTTTAAAAAATGAAGATGCCAAAGAGAGTTATTTTGAGCAATGACGTAAACACTTTCCCCTTAAACATCTTTTAACCGAATATCCTTTAAAGACTGTCATTCTTCCTTTACAGATTTCTGTAAAGATGTTTGAGTTTGAAGATTTTGAAGTTTAAATAATCTCTACATAGCGTAATTTTTTTTCCAAAACTATACATTGAATCCAGTAATCATTTAGAAACATTATTTTTTAAGAGCCCTTATCATGAAAGACTGACCTTTCTTCATTTTTTTTAAATAAGAGTTTGATGTAGTATGTAAACATTGTTAAAGTTTCAAACCATACCATTCATATAGTTTCCATTTATGAAAACTAAGACTCCACTGGTTTTGAGATATCACAAAAACAAACACATTAACATATATCCTCATATTCAGCCTACAGCAGTTTATCCTCAACAATTCATGCTGAAGTTTTAAGGAGTGTGTCAGCCTGGAAAACCTTTTGAATGAGGCAAAATGCAGGTTTTTTAACCTAAAACCACACTGAGTGGACCTCAGAATAAAATACAAGCAAAATGTAGGACATGGGCCCCTTTAGATTATAACTACCCTGCTGAAAAAGACACAGAAATCATTAAAAAAAAAAACGTTTTTTCTGTTGGTTCTCTAACAGGTTCTCTAATGGTTTTCTAATGTATTTTAGCTTTTTTGATGGTTGATATCACAGTATAAAGGATTCTAAAGGTTTAACAGGTGTTTTGGGACTGATTCCAGATGCATTGGGTGGTTCCTTAATGTTGGTTCCTTAATGTGGTGTTCTACAGGAAACTAGTGGTACATTACCATTAGAAAGCAAAACCATTAGGGTTTTAAACCTCATGGCTTCTAATGGTCCTTTTTCAGCAGGGAAGGTATTTTTACTTGGGTGGAAAATGTTTAATTTATTTATTATAAATATTAGGTCTTGTAGTATGAGCGTTAAGTCTTGTTAGAATTCAAGCACTGTTTACAATGTTTCCATGCATTTACATATGCATACGTTTTTGGGGATAACACAAACGTCTTTAGAACAAGATCTGTTTCACATTCATGGCCCATGTGTCTAATTCTGGAATGATCTGGTTTTACAAATAGCCTGACACGTGAACTCTGGTCTGGTTATGTCTGAGGTAAGACGTGCCAAGAATCTTCGTGTCGTCTAACTTTCAGCCACAGCTTTCACAGCTTGTGTGGGTTTTGTTCCCGTTTTCTGTTTATTTAATCCGCCCTAGTCTCCTGCTAAACTACTCTATGGGGAAACGTACGAGTACAGCCCTTACATAACATTCTCAAGACGCAGGTTAAGAAAATAACATTGCCATTTATTTGTGGCGACGAATAGCGAATCCGTCCAGCGAGATATCATGTAGCCTACGAAGCTGCCACGGAATGGAGAAAGTTGCAAGGCGCTCCAATAGCTGCGCCAGCTGAAAAAAAAAACCTCCTCCCAGATTTTCAAACATGGCACTCGCTATAAAGGCAGGGCTAGAACTGCCGGAGCCGTGAGTATAGCCTGCGCTTTACAAAAAGACAAGACAGTGGGCAAGGACCCCTTAAAACAAGTTGTGGCCTCTGTTTAACTTATCTAGCTTATACAAGGACATTCGCTTCACACAGAGATGAAGAATTTTATAGGAGTGGTCATGGCGGTCGTACTTCTGAGAGTACAGGGAAAAAAGCCAAATAACGGTTATTGCGTTCAAAACAGCTGCTTCACTGTCCATACAGACATTGTGGATTTTAGTGCAGCACAGCAGTCTTGTGAGAAGAAATTGGGTTGTTTAATGTCTGTTCGAACGACAGACATAAACGATGTCATTTCAGATCTACTTACTGGATTTTCTGGACATTTTTGGATTGGTTTAATACACAAAGGTGACAGATGCACAGATTCGTCCCTTGATCTCAAAGGATACACTTGGATAACAGGAGATAATACAACTCGTTTCAAAAACTGGAAAAGCAATGACATTGCCTGCTCTCAGCGATGCGTGTCACTATCCAAAAATGATGAAAAATGGACGGAAAGACTCTGTAATGATACAACGGATATCGAAGGATATTTGTGTGAATACCGAAACACTAAAAAATGCGGACGGCTTACATCTGAATCAGTGGTTCTTTATGAAACTCCTTTCGGATTTTCGAGAAAGGATCTAAATGAAGTGCCCCATAGCAGCAATGCAACGCGCCTGGATCTGAGAACAAAACACATCTGTTTAGAAGGTGAGTGGCTTCGCGCACCTTGGAGCTGTGAAGTTTATAAAGGTGGTTGTGAACATAACTGCGACAACAGGAATGACACCTACACTTGTACCTGCCCACCTGGGTATAAACTTGAAAGTAATGCAGTCAGTTGTGAAAAGGCACAAGATGACCCCTGTGAAAAAGCGAGTTGTTCACATATCTGCTTACCAAGAGGAAATAACTATGAGTGTCGATGTCCCAGTGGATTTGCCATTGATAAGGATGGAAAGATCTGCGAAGATATCAATGAGTGTGATGATAAACGACTGTGTCCAGGAAAATATTTACAGTGTGTCAACACAGTAGGTAGCTTTGAGTGTCACTGTATGAATGGCTTTAAGAAGGAAAGGGACACTTGTGTAGACAATGATGAATGTGAATCTGGACCCTGTGACCATAATTGCTTTAATACCATAGGCAGTTATTATTGTGAATGTTGGGATGGATACGAAGTGTCACCAGAGGACAGACACAAATGTGCCCTTTATTGTCCACAGTGGGAATGCCAGGCAGTGGACTGTGACCCTAACAACCCTTATCAGTGTGACTGCCCTCGTGGCTTTATTCTAGAAGAGAGACCAGCAGGTCTTTTTTGCACTGACATTGATGAATGTGATATGTTATATTGTGACCAACATTGCAAAAATACCATTGGAGGTTACAATTGTTCTTGCAATGAAGGATTTAACCTTATTGGTAATACTAAATGTGAGAAGACAGGCATTTCAGAGGAACCACATACCACAACCTTTGACATCTTTACGCCTACCCCAACTGAGAAACCTTCAAATGTCCCAAGAGGTCTTGGAATAAGTGTGTGCACTGTTGTGGTAATTCTGCTGATGGCCTGTCTTGCCTATTACCTTATGAAGTGTTGTGGGAAAATGGGCAGCTTAACTTTAGACAAAGGCTGCAATGAAGATGTGCATGGTTTGCAGCAAGTGACTACAGAAAAATACACCAAGAAACTGTCCAACAGAAACATTTATATTTAAAACCACTGTAGTACCTTTGAGGGTACATTTACATTGTTTGTACCTTAATGAAGGAAAAATGTACCTGCACAGTAACCTTTATTTCTAACAGTGTAGGGCTGATTTATTTAAACACTGGATGAAGTTGGGACATGTTTCCGGGTTACTTTCATAAACAAAGCCCAGTACCTTTATAGAGACTGACACAGAAACACACATATACAAAACACATTTAAAAGCAAGAAATGTTTTGCCTATGTTTGTAAGATTTGGGAAATCAGTTGGCTTTATGAAGGCCAGAGACATTGTGAAGACGTTGATGAATGCATATCTAGACTCTTGGTGTAAGCTTGTACTCTATAAACTGAAGTTCATTTATTTATTCCAAGTAAAAAATACTACACAAATCCTCAACTGTGAGTTGTGTTGTGTAACAAGCATTACTATACTGAATGTTACTATTACAGATGCTCTATAATCACATGGATAACAGAGGAACAGTTGCAAATACTGTATTTTAAGAAAAACAGAAACAAAGAAAAAGAAAGCATTGCTGCATAAGTGCAGAATGGTCGTATGTATTAGAGATTATTTAGGTTTACCAGTGCCTAACCAGTTGTGAAACTAATATTGATAACACACCAAGAAAATGAAAGAAGGAATTGAAAACTAATAACCTATGATTACCATAATTCTGCATGTATAACATTATTAATCTTAATATATAAATTTGGTATGTTTATTTAACAACTAATGAGTGGTAATTGTCCTGGGAAGTTTCTTTTTCTTTAAAATGAATTTGGTTGAATGTTTAATAAAAAATTAATTTAAAATTGCTGAAACTCGATGGATTGGTGACAGAAAAACAGAAAAAATCTCATCGCACTTTGAGATTTGTAATGTGTCTAAGGTTTAAATGTTTTTTACTTGGAAATGTAACTAAGTAAAAGTACAAATATTCAACTGAAGTGTATTCCACCCCTGTATATCTGTTAAGTCCAAGAGAGCAATTAGCTACACAGTCATTTGGGGGCCTGCTATGTGTCGTAGATAGTTAATGCATGAGAGATTTAACAAAAGGTTTCAGGTCGATTGTAAATATGGTATTTGTATCTGGTGTTCATTGTTGTTTTCTCACATGAAGACAACAAATTGGTGTCAATGGCAGCAAAGCAGACCATCGTGAAACAAGAAGCCAGTAAACAGATCAAGAACACTTTACATGATGTACAGATTGATGTGTCAAAGACTATTATTAAGAAAGAAATACACCAGGATGACATCAGAGAGTTCACTAAAATTCAGAATAATGATAAGACTTAAGAAAAGAAAGCTCATTCAAAGAAAGCCCTGATGGCTCACCACCTTCTGGTGGTGGATTGCAAATTGCACACAGTCATCCACCAAACTCTAAAGGGTTTGGAGACAAGTATAAACATTTGGTGTAGCAGTGTTAATTTTTTTTTTTTTTTTTAATTAATTAAAAATAAAATGTGGCAAATACAAGTGATATACATTTGGTGTGACAATAAAGTCGATGAGATCAACTTTAAAAAAAATAAATGCGGTTCATTCAGTATACAGTGTTTTGTTCAGTTGTTTTATTTAAAATTTATTGTGTTAGAGCACACTGGGGAAAATACCCCCCCCCCCTAAGAAATTGTCCATTTACTCTAAAGCTAAATCATATGTGTGCCTGAGTTTAGTAAGTACAGGATGAAGATGCGTAAATAGACATGTAAGAGAAGGGAAATAGAACTAAAACAGCAGACAGTTTTGTTGTTATCACACACAAAAGAATATATTTCAATATGTATATATCTCTTACCTGGTGAATGTTGCATTAATTTGTCATCCATTTTTACAGAACGTATAATTAATGACCAAAATCATTTCCTTTGCATTTTTTTCCAAAATTGTGTAATTATTCAAAGTACAACACAAAAATATAATATATTTAAAATTAAATTAAAGCCTCAACCAATGTATGTCTTAGTGATTCCACATCATTTAAATAAGCTCTATGACAACAATAACTATTTAAACAAAGCGATTGCATTCAACATTTAACGGGTAAGTGCAAATGATTAGTGCTCATGACAGAACAGATCAGGCGTGGATGTAACTCTGCTGAGCTACAGAACTCATATGCAAACCATCTCCAACAAGATGGCTGAAAATGTTGCCTAATTCTAGCTAATGGTTGCTATAGCTAGCATGTAACACTAATACTAACTAGCCAGTGAAGCTCCAGAAAACTTTGTGTCTTTATAATGAAAATACAAGTAAATAATATTTTATGGGCCAAATTATAAAGGGCCTTTTGTCCCTGTGGGGTCAAACTTTTATTTCACTTAAAAAAAAAGCTGTTTTTCCTCTTAAAATCAAGTCAAAATTGTTCTCTGCACAACCCCTTTATAATCATGTATTTTTTTTGTAACTAATATTTTTTATTAGTGATATATAACAGGTACAACACAGCACATATGTACAGTTTAATAATAATAATAATAATGATAATAATAAAGACTTACAAGAAACCCATGCAGACGTGGGGAGAATATGCAAACTCTACACAGAACGGACCCTGGTCGCACGGCCGGGAATCAAACCCAGGCCCTTCTTGCTGTGAGGCGACGGTGCTACCCACTGCTCCTGCTGCTGCTGCTGCTGCTGCTGCTGCTGCTGCTTATAATAATAATAATAATAATAATAATAATAATAATAACAATATTATCATCATTGTTATTATTATTATTATTATTTTATTGATTTATTTATTTATTAATTTATTTATTTATTAAGTTCAGTGTTTTCATGTCCAATTCAGTTCAGTTGTATGTGGTCATATTCATGTATTTTTAATTAATTTTCTTCTACAACTTATTTATTATTTATAATATTTTCCAGTGACCACCGCGACCCAGAAGGATAAGCGGTTTAGATGATGGATGGATGGATTTTCCAGTGACAAAAAATAGGTCAGCTGGCCCCAAAAAGATTCCAGGGGAATAAATCCCAGGAATGTGGTCAGACCACATCCATTAAATAGCAAATGTTTCGAGATTACATCTTCAGTACCTTTAGTTAGGGAACATAATTGTGTGATAATCCATTGCAATTATGTTTATCAAGTTGTATTAACACCACACCCTTGTGTCTTGTGTCCAGGCTTTTTATTTTATTGTTCTGTTTTAAAACATTAGATTATGAAAAGGTACAAATATGTAATGTTCCCCTAAAAAAAAGAAACTTAGTTAAGGTACACAATTGGACCTTAAAACCATTGTTGTACCTTGGAGGATACATTTACATTGTTTGTACGTTGATGAACAAAAATGTACTGCACAACAACATATTGACAGTATGCTAACTGTGGACTTTACTGAGGTATTCAATAGGTATTTACACCTCTCGACGACCGATCAGGATAGTCTGATTTTCCATTAACGTGTATTAACAAAGGGTCAAACGTCTAATCAATAATAACAATTTGTTATCAATGGAGCCTTTCATTTAAATGATTTATATAATGGTCAAACAGTCCCATCTGGAGGTATAAATCTGCAAAGATTTTTGTGATAAGTTTGTGGATATATCTCACAAAAGTGTCTGACTCTGTGGACACAATGTTGTCCACAGAGTCAGTTTTTATGCCTTTTCTTCTGAAACCCAGCCTGTAGCTCTGAATCTGCGTTTGGTTTAGTGTTTGAATTTCTGTGCTTACTGCATCTATGCAATTGAGTCCCATTAACAACGTTTACTACTGTAAGTCACTGTTGCTACAAACTGTCAGAATTTGACATTTTGTAGCGTTTTGTGTTCTGGCTAGTTCAGATATTGACATTAGGTTTATGTATGTATGTATGTAATTCTGCAGTCTCTTCATTTGAGTGTATTCAACACTCAGTGTTAAAAAACCTTTATTGATGTCACACGTTGGCTCACGTTAAAATGAATCTAATTGTTAATTGTACAGTAAAGACTATTTTTGTAAGACCTATATTGTCTATACCTTTCTTTTCTACAGCTCACTCATACTGCATATTGATGCAAAAAGTGCATATATTGTCAGAAGTGGTGAATATATAGAGAACCTATACTCAGTTGAAAGTATGAGTACTGTGATAGACAAAAGTATCTCTATTTAAACATACACAAGTATATAAAAATAAAAATTGTTTTAACAAGTAACATTAGGAATAAGGGCATGTGTTTTTTTAAACATAAGCCAATTGTGCCAGACTAATGAGCCTTTTCACTCAACTCTTGCATTCACAGTGTAATATTGTGATAAACATAGTATTGTACAGTTTTATCCGTTGCACTTCCTCCATCCTGCAGCACACGCTGTGCTCCTGCTCCTCATCTTCCTCAGGAGTGCAGGCCACGAGTGTGGTGTTGTGACAAATAGGCAGTACTGTTTCGGGCACAGGATGAATTAGCATAGTAGCAGGTAGTTTCATTTTACACTGATATGAATTACATTTGATGTTTAACTTAATATGCTAGCTTGTATCTCATCTATGATCTCTATAAATGACAATAATTATCAGACCAGCTGTAATAACTGGATCATCTTTCAGGTACCTACAGTTTTTACTGAACTGGGAAAATTAGCTTTTAGCTACAGTGCACCAGTGAGCTTGAGTTATTCTCTAAAACTGGGCTCACTGGTGTCACTCAATCATTTTAAACTTTAAGTCTCTAACCACTTTCATACAGCCTGTAACAGTTGTAGTTGTGTTTATTTACCCTTTTTATTTAATCTAATCATTTTTATTTTACTGTATCTCACTATTTTATTGCAACTGGTTTATTTGATGTTAATTCTTTTACTGTTCTATTTTAGTAAATGATTCGTATTTTCTAAATTTTTTAGTTTTTGTATTGCTTATGGTCCTTTTACTTACTTTTAATGTGTTTTCATTATATATTTTATTGCTATTTAATGCCTATTTTCTATTTGAACTGTTATTATTAGGGTTCAAGCATGCAATGCATTGAACCCTATTGGAATTGTCAAGATTTTTCTTATTAGGGTTCAAGCACGCAGTGCGTAGAACCCTATTGGAATTGTGAGGATTTTTCTTATTATTAGGGTTCAAGCATGCAATGCATTGAACCCCATTGGAATTGTCAAGATTTTTAGGGTCCAAGCACGCAGTGCGTAGGACCCTATTGTTTTTGTTAGAGTTTTTCTTCTTCTTCTTCTTCTTCTTCTTCTTCTTATTGTTATTCTTTTTCTCCGATAAAATGAATCGCCCAGACCAAACCGTAAGTCCTAGAGACATGAAACTTGGTCAGTAGGTAGTAGTCCCTCCCGCTACTCAGGTTCGCGAAATGAGCCCAATCGGCCTAAAGGTGGCGCTATTGCGCAACACAACGCGTTTGGCCCTTTAACTCATTCCCCAGATTTTTGCCAGACATGACACATTTTTTTCCTGATTCCTTGGGTCCAACAAAACAACTTTGTAATTTGGACCATTAAGCTCCGCCCACTTAGATTTTGAGCTAATTTGCATAATATGCGAAACCTACTTTTGCGAACTAGTCCTACAGTTTTCATCCAATCCTCATGTTTTTGGTGTCAAAAAATTCAGAAGAGCCTGAACCTCAATAATTATCCAGCACATTTTTAATTCTTTACTCAAAATGGCTGCCATATGCAAATTAATCCTTCTGGAAAAATCAAAATAATTCTTATTTAATTGAAAAATCTGTAACTCGAGAATCCTTCACCCAAAAAATTTGAAACTTGACAGGCTTATTCCTAAAGAGACTCTGAGGACACCTATCAATTTTTGTGCGCATAAGTCATTAGGGGGCGCTGTAAATGCTATGTAGCTGTTTCTCAGCATCCGTACATCCGATCAAGTTGAAACTTTGCAAGTACCATCTATTCCAAAGACTATAAGTGAATCTTTCAGGACACTTTGAAATATTTAAATTTGTGGCCGCCATCGGCCAATAAGCTTTCAGCAGCCATTTGACAGGCTTAGCATTGGCCAATCCTTATGATACTTGATATCTATCTCTATCTCACCACCTTCTAACAACATGTGAAGTTTCAAAATATTTGGCCGCTGGGGGGCGCTATTACAGAAAAGCAAGTATATCTTGTACAGATTGTTATTTTTGGTCAAATAACTTAGATGCCCTCATGCAGTGCAGTATTCCAAACCATTTTGTCATTTGAAGTCTATTGAAAAAGTGCTTAATTTTTTTTCAATTGTCAAATGTTTGAAATTAGCACTTTTCGAACTACTCCGTGGAATTTGAAGCTACCTTCTCAAACCTAGTCTAGAAATACTCTGTAGCCTCTCTAGGTAAATAATTATCCAGCACATTTTCCATTTTTTGCTCATTGTGGTCTCCCTCCATCACTAAATCATTGTGGCCATGGCATTGCTAGCTTAAATTGCTATAGCTCATCAGTCCTTG